CTGGAGGAAGGACAGGTGGTATACAGGGTAACAGGAAAGTATCCCCAGAACTCTGAGTGTGAAACAAACACTCCAGAAGATAAGGGATTCCTATCACACAAGCTTAGACCAAAACCCAACTCGATCGTTGTTATGGTGTCCAAAACCTATGCAAGGTTGGCACAGATGGAGATGAGAGGTGAAAATTCACACAGCTGGTCCAGCCTCAGCCTGGGCAGGGGGACACAGATCTGGGACACGTGGATATTGTCAGCCCTGGTGAGGTGGGCTCAGGAATGGGACCAAGACAGCTTAGAGAGCTTTTCCAGGGCCTGGATGATGACCTTCTTGAGACTTGCCCCTCTCCAGTTCCAAGTCCATCCTCCTAACAACCATTTCAGCTTTGCATGCATCCTGACCCCGGGAATGGGGCCTCCAGTCCTGGGATAGTGGGTGAATAGCTTCCATCATATATGAGAGTTGGCATGGAGTGTGAACAATGGTTTGAAGTGGGCTTCATTAGTGGGAGTAGATGGAGCAGCCTGTAGCACTCACGTGTTTCTGGACTCACAAAGCCAAAGGCCACCTTAGGAACATGGTTTCCACATGTGGATCATGCCATGCTGAGGCCCTCCTTGAGGAACCAGCCAGCCTCCTACATCTGGCTATCCCTCTCAAATGGCAACAGGCAGTAAATTAGAAACACCAGTTTCAGTGCTGGCAGCAGAGTTGCCCAGCAAGGTTCCCATGGTTTGTCCCTATAATGAGAACCATGGCTCCAGGCAGCAGCAGGTGGCCCTTGGGAAGAAAGTCAGGGGACTCCAGGGTACTTCAAGTGGAGAGAGGGGCACAGAGCCATCTTGAATCATCCTCAGAAACCCTGCTCAAAAGAACAGCACTGATACAGCTTTAATAAACAGCAGCTTTGTTCGTAAAAGCAAACTTGGGTCCTGAAAATGTGATAAACCTGGAGGATGGATAATTCAAGTGTGGTAGAGTCATGCCATGGAATATTGCACACTAGAGAAAAAGAAGGAACCATGGGCTATAAGCAACAGGGACAAATTCAGGAACATAATGAGGAAAAAAGCAAGTTACAGAACGACACCATCTTTAGGAAGTACAAAACCAACCAATATCATGTATGAGGTTATATATTACACTCATATTACAAGGCATGGAAGAAAGTGAGTTTGGTGATAAAACTACTTCAAAAAAAGCAGGGAGTATAATAAACAAAAATTAAGCTAGCGGTTAACTCTGGATAGTTAGGTGGTTCCCTGGTGTTCATTTTATTACTTTATTATATAGGCACCTCTTGATGACGTGTTCTTGTATTTATCAAATATCTCAGAATTAAAACCTATCACAAGACACTGCAGCCGTCACTACTCAAGCCCCGGGCCTGGAAGCCCCCTGTGGTTTCCAGGCTCCTCATGAACATTGCTGGAATGCCCGCCCACAGGGCCAGCTGCTCATGGCTCACACCTCCCCAGGCTCCGCAGCCAGATGCCGGGGCTGCTGCTGCCCGCTGTGGCAAGGTCGAAGGTTAGAAGTGATTGTCCTGTTGGGACACTGAGGCCCCCTATCCTTTCCTCTTTCTGGATTTCCATCTCCCCCTTAAACCTGACCCATCTGCTTCAGCAAGCTGATTCCTGCTTCTCTGTGGGCCTGTCTGTGGGGATGTTCAGGCCTGGAGTCCACTTGTCCCACCCAGCCCCACCACCTTACTTTTACTCATCCATCCCTTCCACAAGTATTGACCAAGCTCCCACTATGCTCCAGGCACCATTCTCAGTGCTGGGGATGCAGCCATGAACAAAACCACACAAAGATCCCGGCCCTCAGGGAAGGTAGATTCTACTGAGGGGAGACAGACAATACACACTAAACTAATGAATATAAATCAGGCGGTGACAAGAACAAAACCATGGCGGAATAAGACCATAGGGAGTGAAGGGAATAGGGATAGTAGGGAGCGGTTTGGGGAGGGTGGCGAGGGAGGCCTCTCCGAGGAGGTGACGTAGGGGCAGAGGGCAAAGGCCCTGACCCCTCTTGTCACTTGTGTCTCCTTCTTCCCCTGGAGCCCCCCCCGACCCCACCTCAGCCCATGATCTCAAGCCCTCTCCCCCTGTGCTCACCTCTTCTCCTATTCTAGTCATCCAGTGGACTCCCCCTGGCTTCTGTGGGAAGAGGCCTGGGGGGTCTCCAGGCCACAGAGGCACCTCCCTTTGCACTGACCTTCACTCTGAGCCAACAGCTTGCCTCCACCGCTCCTGGCAAGCCAGCTTTCCTCAAGGAATTAGCCTGGAGTCAGACTTCCTGAGCCATCTTCCACTTCGCTTCTTTCCTGCCGGGTATCACCAGGCCTCAAGGCTGGATTCGGCCTACAGGGTGTGGTTTTCCACATCATTGTCAAACCTGTAATACCAATGCCTGGAAAAAGGATGTTGGCTTAATTACTATTATTAGCACAAATGACTTCCTACTCCTGAATTTCCCTGAGTGCCACCTGCAGGTAAACTCACCCGGAAGACAATTTGGGGACCGTCTCCTCATGCCATCACCGGTATGTCTCTAGGCATGGAGAGGCGAAAGCCACTGCCCAGGCAGCACATGCTGAGGCAGGATTCCGGCTTCACTCTGCCCTCATGAAGACACAGGCCTTATCTTGGAACTTATCAGCTAGCAGGGCGGAGAGATGGACACCAGAAATTTACATTACAGTGCGGCCACACTGGAGACAGTGTAGACAGTGAGGCAGTCTAATCATCAGTTGTTATGATGGCAAAGTGTGTTATTAGAAGTCCTATCACAGAGAGAAATAACACTGCTGTGGGATCACAAAGGATGTGTCAGATGTTGAGCAAGGCTTCTCGGTGACCTTTGGCTTGGGTCTCAAAAAATGCACACGAATTTCTCCCCTGGACCAGAGGGGAGAGAACATGCCAGGCAAACATCTGGAGAGACAGACGTCTATGCTAGAGTTGAGAGGAGAATATGAGGCTTTGAGGGAGAGGGGAAATATCTCCTATGGAGATCCTTTCTCTTTCTTTTCCTATTCCCTCTTGGTGGAACCAAGGGACCAGGGCACCAAAGGGTCCCCTGTTGAAACTTGAACATTCTATTTCCCCTTTTCTTAGGCTATCCACAGTGTCTGGGGCTCATCAGGTCAACCTTCCTCACCCATAGGTCTTTGGGAGTGCCTGAGGTTATGCTGGTCGTCAGAAGGCATCTCTTCATCTTCCCTTCTCACATCTCTTACAGCCTGAGTTTCAGCTTCCTCATTGGTCAGCAGGGTCCACAACATCTGTTCTTCCCAAGAACAGCCTCAAGGCTGCCAGGGGATGAGAGACGAACCTGCATGTGAGAACTCTTGGAAAGCTAGAGTCAGGTACCCCTAGAAGGGATGATGCTGATTATGACTTGATGCTTCCTCCTCCCTGGCATTCCAGACTGTCAGCTCCATCCTCAGATGCAGTATCCAGCATCCAATACACTCCCCACCCCCGCAGCTATCACCCTGGTCCATCCACCACCATCTCTTTCCTGAACTATTAGCAGTATTCTCAGCACTGCAGCCACACTGATATTCCTAAAATGTAGGTCAGACCAAGACACTCTTTTGTTAAAAGCCCTGCACGGACGCCCCATTTCACCAGAATAAAAGCCAAAGTCTTTATAATGGCCCACAAGACCCTACATGAACGACAACACCTACTCCCACCTGTGAGCTCTCCTATTTCCCTCCTCCCAGTTACTCCACTCCAGCCGCTCTGGTCTCTTTGCTTTTCCTCCAACTCACCAAATATGCCCAAAATACGCCTCACCAAAAAGATCTCAGGACCTTTGTACTTGCTGTTTCCTCTGCCTCGAATGCTCTTCCCCAGGGATATCCTCATGGCTCTGTCTCACTTCCTTCAAGTCTTTGTCAAATGTCATCTCAGTGAGGCCATCCTTGACCGTCCCATTTAAAACTGCAACACCCTCCACCTCCTCAGCTCTTCATTCTCCTCACTCTACCCTGCTCTGTTTCTTCAAATAGCCAATTTTACCTTCTCGTTTATTTTGCTTATTTATCCCGACTAAAATATAAGCTCCACTAAGGCAGGAATTTTGTCTTTTTAGTTCCCCGCTGTATCCCCAGCACCTAGAACAGTGCCTAGCACATAGTAGGTGATCACTCCACAGTTATGGAATAACAGAAACAATGCACAGCGCCGACACCTGCCCCCAGTTCTCAGTGTACAGGGCCAAGACAGGGAAAGCCCACTGGTGACTTCGCATCCTCCTCAGAGGGCAAGGGAGCTGGCATCTGAGCCCGCAGCAGCCCTTGCCTGGCTCCGATTAAGTCAGACATTTATGGAGCCCCTGGGCAGGTGCTGCGCCTGCCTGAGACGGAGGCCTCTCCGCCCACCTCGGGCTGGGTGGGGGCTGCGGCTGCGGGGCAGAGGGGGCCTCCTCAGGGACACAGGCCAACCCAGGCCCAGAGGGATCTGCTCGAAACCTGAGATGGTGGGACAAGCTCAGGCAGGCCTCCCAGTCACACTGCCTGCATCCCAGGCCCAGGCCCACTAGTGACCTTGCCCAGGGTCACTGCCCTTTCTCAGCCCTCTTCCTGAGGTTCCGCCCGCTCCCGCGCCCCTTCTCCCCTCCCTCCCTCTGGCCCCCATCCCGCCAGGACCCCTCCCTCCAGCGCCGCCTTCCTCGCCCCCCCGCCCTCGGGGCCCGCAGGCCCCCGCCAGGCCGCTGTCCCCCCGCCCCTCGCCCTTTCTCGCGCCGCCAGCGGCCCCGGCCCCGGCCCCGGCCCCGGCCCCGGCCCCGCCTGCCGCTCCGGCCCTGGCCGGCAGGGGCCGCTCCTCGCGGCGCCCGGGGCCCCGCCGCCGCCGCCTCCCCGCCCCTTCCCCGGCCGGCGCTCCCGTTACGCCGCGGAGCCGGGAGCCCGAGCCCGAGCCCGCGGCGGCGGCGGCGGCGGGAGGCGGCGACGGAGGCGCCCGGGCGGCGGCGGCGGGGCCTGCGGGGCCTGCGGGCGGGCGGGCGGGCCCGGCCAGGCCGCGATGGCGACCAGGAAGGCGGGCTCGCGGCTCGAGACGGAGATCGAGCGCTGCCGCTCCGAGAGCCAGTGGGAGCGGATCCCCGAGCTCGTCAAGCAGCTGTCGGCCAAGCTCATCGCCAACGGTACGCGCCGGCCGCCGGCCTGGGCTGCGGGGGCGCCGCGGCCTCCGCCGGGCTGGGCCGGGTCCCCGGGCGCCGGGCGCGGGCGCGGGCAGGGGCGCGGTCGGGCCGCCAGGGCGCCACGGCGGGGGATGTGCGCGGGGCCGGGGCCTTGGGGACCCGGGGTCTTCGGATCACGCGGAGGGGGCGTGCAGCCGGCGAACGCCTGTGTCCGGCGTCCCAGAGTTCAGCCTGCAGGGCGGGCTTCGGTGGAGTCGGGGTCTCAAGGAGTCGGCTGCTGCACGGGGGTCCCAGGGGATCAGGGGCCGGCCTTGGGGTTCTAAGAAGTTGGAGGTGATGGAAGAAGGTGCTCCCTTAGGACATGGATGTGAATGGAGAGGGGATTCTCCCTGGTGTACTCAGGGAGTCAGGATGTATTTATACGGGTCCTGCGAATGGGGGTGTTGAACAGATACCCCTGGGAAATATGGTTTGTAAACATATGGCGTTCAAGGGGCTCCAAGTGGAGGCTCAGACTTGGGTGTGTGTGGGGTGGTGGTGGAAGGCAGGTCGAGATGTGTGTCTTGGGGTTCAGAGAGTAGGATGTCAAAGCTGTGGCCCAGGGAGGTCAGGTTTGGGAAAATAGGGGAAATAGAGTCACAGGGAGCCAGGTGGGAGAATAGTGTGCAGAGGTGAGAATGTGGTTGAAGGATGTTGGGAAATGGTGTTGGCTGGGTGAGGGACTTGTTGCCTAGAGGAGAAGGGGTCTGAGGGAGCCACTGAGTAGGACCTGGTGCCTGGAGTTAGTCTTTGACCTCATTGACTGAATTGGTTCTTGTACCCAGTGGAATCAAAATTGCATCCAAAATCCCATTTCAGAGCACAACTCCACGTGGCCTTATTTGTTTTGGAAGCAAGTATCGTTAATATTTGCTTGTCTTTTAGCGCCCGCCAAAACCGTGGGCACCAATGGCCTGGCGAGAGGACAGAGGTTCTGTCTCAGTTCACCTCTGGGTCCCTGAGGCAGGGAGAGCACATGTTGGCTGAACAAATGAATGAATGAATGATACTCCTCTAAGAAAGGACATCTGCTCTATTTTCACCTGGAACTACCCAGAAATGGAGAGGGATGTCACATGTCCTCTTCAAGGATGGCTTATGTTTGTATTAGTGCCTTAAATGAGAACTTGGTTTTGCACACTCTCAACTATGGTACCTTGCTTTGGGCAGGTATTTCCTGGGCGGATGCAAGTGCCACGATCATCCTAGGGACGTGGAGGAAGCACAGACCTACCAGGGCTCAGCTTGGTGGAAAATGTTGACTCTTCTCAGTTAAGGCAGCATTTGAGGAAAAGGTGTTCAGTCCCCTGGGCCTCCATGGCAGCTTGACCTTGCCCTCCCTGTAAGGCTTACCAGCTTGTCCTCTTGTTTCTCCTGTTCTTACCTGCAGCATCTTCTCGTTTCTTCTTGGAGTTGGACAGTCCTGGGTCTACTTTGTCACTTCCCAGCTGTGTGCCTAGAATACCTTCTGTGCAGGTTGATGTTAGGATTAAATGGGTTCATTTGTGAGCCTGCTGGTTTTTTCCTTCAGAACCCACTTGTTTCCTGCTTTATTTACTCATTCATTCAACCAATATTTGGGTGCCCACCTGTGCCAGGCATAGAACAGTGGTGGACAGCACTGACCAAGCTCCTCCCCTCATGTACTTAACTTCTGCTGCGGAGACAACAAATATAGAAATCAATAAATCGGAGAGCTTCAGATGGGGAGAGGTGATTTAAACAAAACAGACGAAGTAATATGATTGAGAATGACAGGTAGGGGAGGAGGAATGACTCAAACTATGGTGGTCTCTGGATGAGAGGGTAGATGGGCTTTCAGTGGCATGGGCCCATCTTACTGACCGTCACAGCCCCACAAGGCTCCCTTCCCATGGTCTGGTCCCAGTGGCCTAAGCTGCTGTCATTAGTGGGGCTTGATGGGGAGTGGGTTGTGCGGGGCACTGTGGTCATGGGTCCTTGTGCAAGCCTGGTTTTGGGAAACTCAGGAGAGAGAGATTTCTGCCCCAGAATCCACATGGTGAGCAGTAGCCATTGATGGCAAAAGGTCCCTCAGACTTGGAAAGGTCAAAGAGATTGCTCAGGAAGGTAAAAAAATAAAGGAAAGAAACAAAACTGGAATTATTGTGGCTCCTCTTTGGGGTTCAGAGAAGTGTTTGAAGTCCCTTCCTTTGGCTGCTGGGGGCTCCCTTGGGCTGGCTCCCTTGGGACTTCCTCCTGGCTTTAGGGACACCAGCTCCTCCTTAGACCCTTTTGGGTGCACTGGACCTCAAGTTCTGGGCAGATTTGGCAAAATCCTTAAGCTAAAGCATTTGCTGCTTAGCATAGGGAAAGCGAGTTAATGTCATGTTTGTCATACTGAGACAGTTGCCTTGGAGGCAGCCACAGGCAGCAAAGAGCACAGTCTTTGGAACCAGCCAGATCGGTGCCTGAGTCCCAGACATGCCATTTCCGAACTCGGTGTCCTTGGCCAAATCCCTTAGCCACTCTGAGCCTCAGTTTCCTCATCTTAGAATGGGGATGAAAAGACTTACCTTGTAGGGGTTATTATGAGGATCAGAGGGGCTCATGACTCCCAGGGCTAGCCACAGAGCCCAACACCTTCATAGGCAGGCCCTTCATTCATTCATTCATTCGTTCCACAAATACTGAGTACTTGCTATGTGCTAGCCACTGTTTTAGGTAGGGGGATGTATCAGTGAACAAAAATGACAAACATCCCTGCCTTGATGAAGCCCGCCTTCTAGTGGGGAAGGGGCAGGGAGACAGATAGAAAATACAATCATTAAGTGAAGTTTACAGGATGTTTATGGTGGTCAGCGCTATCAGAAGAATAAAGCGGCGGCGGGGAGAAGTGCTCTGGGAGTGGGGTGGTCGGGGCACAGGAACTACTAGTTTGGATAGTGTGGCCGGGGAAGGCCTCATCGTGAAGGCGACATTTGAGATAAGACCTGCGGTGGTGGAGAAGCATTGTTCCAGGGAGGGGACTTCAAGGGCGGAGGCCTGATGAGGGCAGCGGGGTGGCAGGGCCAGATCACCGGGACGTCATAGGTCATTGTTAAGGCTGTGGCTTTTCTCTGTGTGAGATGGGAGCCGTGGGAGGGTTCCGAGCAGGCAGAGGACTCACTCATTCTTAGTGCTCCTACCTGCAGCCCACCCCCCCCCCCAGGAGCATTAGCTTCCTATGGGAAAGGAACATGGCCGTCCCTCCCATTAAGGACTCTGAATAATGGACACTTTCAGAGCATGCTGTTCCAGCCTGACTCCTTCGAGATAAATTGGTTTAGACGGTTTTGCCAAGAGGTGGATAAGGAAGAAAAGGGCAAATGTCAAGCAGAAAACAGAACCCAGAAATCCTTCTGCCTCATATCCCACCATTTTAATCCCTCCATCCAAAAAACCCAAAATGTGGGGCAACCAATGCCAGGTCCTGGTGAATTTCAGCAAGTGGATGATCACACAGCTGGGGGGATGGGAGAGCATTCCACTCACTTCTAGGCTCCTGCTGTCTGACATGTGGTCAGGGGACTAGCCACGTGGGCATCATCTGGGAGCATGTGAGGAATGCAGAGTCCCGGGCCCCACCCCAGACCTGCAGGGTCAGAATCAGCATCTTAAGGTGGCCAGGGGATTCATGGTGGCACAGGGAAGTCTGAGGTACCCTGGTCTGGAGCTCAGGTGGCAGCCTGAGGGGGTCAGAGGTTAAGATGGAGAATTGCATGTTGGCTTCTTGTTGGCTCACAGGTCAGTCCTGGCCCCTTGTGGGGCAGTACCAGCTACCCTTCCTCCCTGGAATGTCACCCTCCAGCCACCCAGTGGCGAGGTTTGCTGCTAGGTGAGAAAGTGCAGTGATCTGGCACCTGACCTTTAATTCAGACTCTACCTGTAGCTGCTGGGTGACCTGGAGCCCATTACTTAACCTCTCAGAGCCTGCATTTGCTCACTGGTGAGATAAGAGTTCATAATACCTACTCCGTTAGGGCGGCTGTGAGGATGAAGTGAGTTGACATATGTAATCTGTGGTACGTGGAAAAACTGATGCTCACCCTTTCCAGCTGACTCAGTATAACCCTGGGCAAGGCAGGCCACGTCCTGCGTGTCACCTGGCTGGGAAAAAACGAGTGGGAGACCTAGAAATGACACACCTGAGCGTGTGTCTGGTCAAGACTCCCACATATTTCATGACAGAAAGAGGCATTTTGGAGGCCTGCACCAGCCCTGCATCCGGCCACTCCCTTTCTGAGGCCGTGTCTGCCTCTCCTCCCTTCCCCCGCCTGTTAATCGTCTTAGGCAGCTCAGTTATTGAGCTCACTTAGGTAGGACACTTAGGCCCCAAATGGCAGTTTCTCCTTTAAGGGGTCATCACCCTTCTGATTAGGTATGATTCTGAGGCATTTTATTACCTCTTGGTAGGTAGAGAAATGGTACCTGAAACAAGAATATTTCTGGGGCAAAGTTTGGTCACAAAATGTATTTAGACCACTGAGTGGGAGGGAAGTTCTTGTGTTTGCCAGTAGCTGCTACTCCTGTTGTTGGCATGAAGGGGCACAGACGACTTTGTTGCCTGCAGCCGCGTGGCTTCCCCTTCTGGGCTCCTGGACTGTCGCCTGGTCTCACTCAGGCCTTTGGAGCCTTCCCAAAGAGGGAGAGTTACTGGTGGACCAGGGGCCCCCAGGCCAGCCCGAGGGGCTTCTCTGGAAAGAAGGCTGAGCTTTAACTGAGAGTCCGCCGTGGAGTGAGAAGGTGGCGCTGTTGTTTAGAATGGCTTCTCTGGATATTTCCGGGGTACCGCAGACTCCTGGGAGGCAAACTGTCCTCCGACAGTGGGGAAGGATACCAGTGAGACCTTGGTGACCCTCCACCCTGGCCTTCCCGGGGCAGCTGTCCTGCTTTCAAACACTCTGTTCTGCTGTCCTTTTGTCCACAAAGGTCACCCCTTTGTGGCAGACCATATGCCCTGGTTT